GTGACGATGTCTGCGTTGGCTGCCTGGACAGCAATACTGAGCGGGTCCTGCCCGTCGCCATCCACCGCGTGTTGATTCGCCCCTCGCTTGAGGAACAAGCAGACCTGACTGTAGAAGGGAAAGAAAAGACCCTCAGAGCAGGAATTCCAGCTCCCCAACCCCACCCTGAAGCAGGCAGAGGGCACTGCCCTTCCATGGGCGGGCACAGCTTCACTTATACTGGTCTAAATAAACCAGGAAATGCTGTGGTGGCGTGGAGAAAGGAATGGGTGTACCACCACGGGGGCAATTATCCTTAAGATAATCAAATTGTTGATATGATATAAAAAGGCAAGTTTTGCAAATAACCAATGCACCAAAACCCAGCTCCTTTGCCCACCTCACCCCACGAGTCTCGGCGTTAACGCTGGATTTCAGTCCCAAGGGTGGTGGGGAACATCACAGCATCGTGCTAAGAACTTACCCAGTGTGCCCCAGGTACGTGGCGTGGTGCAAGGGAGCTCGGCCTCGGCTGTCTCTTTGGTTAACATCCGCCCCGTTCTGCAGCAGGAATTCACAGGCTATCAAGGAACCCTGCCAAGGCAAAGGGGAATTTCTAAATAAATTCAGCCAGCAGTACTGAGAGGATGCACGAGCACACAAACTGCCCATCGTTGGTGCTTTCTCAACTCAAGTCAAGACCTCACATTCCCAAACATGGCCTCCCAGCCACCAGCACAACCTACCCCCGCCACGGCCTGGATCAGAGGCGTCTTGTTTTCATCTTCATCGTTCACCCAGTTGATCTCAGCGCCGTGCGCCAGTGCTTCTGCCATAAGAGGCAGGTTTCGGGCTTGCGCTGCCTTGTAGATCAACAACCCGGGATGCAGCTCCCTCAGATCCTCCAGGTCTGATGCCTCCTGTTCAATCTCTGCTTCGCCGCTTGACTCCTCTGACACCTCGCACTCTAAGAGGCAAAAAAAAGATGGAAAGAGATTATCCAAAAGCTGCCCGTTTCTAATTTCTTATGTTTCCTGTTGCTCTTGTCCCCAGACGCTTCTCCCCATCCATCCTGCCTTAGCACCAGCCACCTCCCCATGCTTCCATCAGCAGCCTGTGACACCCACCTTCTTCTGTCACGCTGTCCACCACGGAGCCGAACACCAGGATATCGGTGCTGCCGTCCGTGCTTCCCCCGAGTCCACTGTCACTGCTCAGACCTGCAGGGCCAACAGAAGACAAACCAAGCCCATTTTAATACCCAGGCATCGCAGTTCCAGGCACAGCTGAGACCACACGGGGTGGGGGGTGGGGGAAAAAGGGCTGCGCAGAACGTCACACACACATTGCACCGGACACTGCTGGCAAGGGAGAGGGGGACGGCTATCCCTTTTAGCCCCGCTCAATAAAACTGCCCAAGGAAAAATTGCAAAGCCTTATGGTGTCCGTGTCCCCGCGCTGCCCTTCATGCAGGGATGCTCCGACATTGCCACGGCACTTTGGACTCTTGAGGACAACCCTTGCTGCAATCCATGAGGGACGCCGTGACGGAGACTGGAGCGGAGCAGCAGCAGAGACAGCTTTGTGGCAGGTTATGCAGTGTCGTAAGCAAATAAAGACACCCCCCTGCTTTTACCACTAATCTCAGCTTCTATTCTATCAGGGCTTTTCAGTTGTCACTGGGGCACTTGCCAATGCATTGCTCTTGTGACAGGTTATTGACCATGGCTGGCTAAATAACATCAACAGTGAGTATCTCAAACCAAACACTTAAAGCATGGTCCAGTGGCTCACTCACCTCCACAGACATCCCTTCCCTCTCCCCACAGCACTTCCCACCTTCCCTACTCAGCTGGTGAACATTACAGCTCACTACATACAAGAAACGGAGTCATGGAGAGATGAAACAACTTGCCCAAGGACACACGAGGCGTCAGTGGCAGAGCAACTCTGTGCCTTCTCCAGCCTTCACCCCAAAGCAGTCAAGAAAATGAGAGAAAGGAGGAAGCACAGTAGGAATTGCCCCTGCAGGAGGGATGGCATGTCACCTCCATCCTGAGGGATGCCCGGTCCCCCTGGCAGCTCTGGCTGGATTCAATTCTTGCTGCTATTAAGTTCCCACTGACTGCAAGTGCTGGGGATCTCTGTCCTCCCAGAACATAAGAGGTTAATTCCCCCATAGTCTACCCCAAAACCTATCCTTAAATCACTGTGATTAGAAAGAAAACAAGTCAGGCTGTAGCTGAGAAAATGTTTCTAAATTATGAGCCGAGTAATCTTTGCAAAGAGCAAAAGATCTGAGCATTGAAAACCAGAGCAGAACAAGACACCTCAGCCTGACAGCCCGTCTGTTGAAATCTTCAGAGCAGCTACAGCTGGATCCCAGGGAAAGAACAGTCTCTAAATCAGTGCTTCTGACATCATGGCTCACAAGTAATCCTTCAGCCAAAGCCACAAGTTCCACAGCCAAAGGAGATAATGAAGCTACAACAGGAAGGTTTTATAGTGGCCTGTATCATGAGTATCTTTTTTTTTGGATTCGCGGTCAGAAAAATCCTAGCTGGTTTTTGTAGAAAGCAAACACGCTGCCTGGGGAGACACTGCTCTCCACGACCTCGGTACAAGTAAAGCACAACTCCAACGAGGCCACGTGGCACTTCTCTAGATTTACATCAAAGCAAGAAAGGAGGATCTGGCTCCTATCACAAGAGTATTAATACGTCAAATTCCCAGTTCTGTTCCTACTGAATCAGTGATAAAATTCCTGTTTTTTTCTACAGAAGCAAGATAAGGCTGGTGAGTAAATCTGAAACCCTGCCTTTGCCAAGTATTGTTTCTGTTGACTAATAACACTGAATTCCTTGAACCTGGAATAGCCCTTAAGGCACAGATTCAGACAAGCACTAAAGCTCCTTCTTCACCGATTTCAAGAGATAACATTAACTTGTAGGAAAGTCTATGAATTTCTGCTGGGCTGACTCAGGACCACAAATATTTCTCCTGAGTTCATACAATAACAAGCAGCTGAGCCAGTAAGTTTGAGAAAATCATCACTCCTCAACTAAGTGTGACAAGGGACCACACGACTACTCTGTGACAGATGTGGGGCATCTGAAGTAAACATTTCTTACTTCCTATTTGAGGAAGTACTTCCATGAGGTCCCACCTGTGCAGGATTGAATCTTTTATCTCATCTTTTATCTCAGCTGTTCCTTTATGGTGTAATAAATTGCTGGCTGGAAACCCTAGGAAGCTTTTTGCCTTTGGAAAGCCTGCCAGCCTGGCCTTCCCACAAGGGACTGGCAACGTATGGGTTCCGATCATTCGGCTGAAAGAAAATATATAACTGCCTCTGAAGCTTGGTTTGAAACAGGTAAAATTTGGGTGTCTCTTTTGCTGCCAGCTGCCAGAGCGTCACCTTACCTCCGTCCAGGAGGAACGGCGTACCGCTCCCACCGGGACCAATGCCACTGCCACTCCATGGGCCACCTGCTAGCGGATGCTGCATAGAGATGTGGCTGGCACCTAGAGGAAGGTGGACGGAATGTGAGGGGGAGTTCATCGTCACAAACACAAAAAAAAAAAAAAAGAAAAAATTGTCCGC